GCTTCTATGTTTGCTGTGTCTCACTGAATTCTTTCCGTCCAAAACCCAGGCTCTAATAGGTCCACTTGAGGACAATTGTAAAAATTTGTTTGAATAAGTAAATTAACAATATCTAAAACCCCGAGCGGAATTAAAATTTCATCAACTCCTTCAAATTGTCTTCTCCCTCAGGGCTGTCCCAGCATCTTCTCTCACATTCTCTGACTTGTTCACATTTACCAGCTCTAAGCCGAGAGATCTTACCTGCTTCTTCACTTCAGTCTAATACTTTTAATTGCCAAAATCCTACTGGGAGAGGCACTCTAGAAAAATAGAACAGACAGTACTTAAGGGATCATTAACAGCTAGACACCTGCTACACTATCATTGGAGTTACAGCAACACCAATAATTGCCTTTAGCAATTAGAGATCCAAGGCATTAAGGTTTCCCTCCAATGCACTGTTGATAGTTGTTGTGGAACCCAACAGAATTCATTTCCTATAACAAAGATGAGTCTAAAATTTTGATTGGCCTTTGTTTTCTTGAATAGATTTTGGAGAGTTGTTTTTAATGAAGGGCTCTGAGCTGAGCTGCCACTTCCCTTTTTGTCTTGTTCACAAGGAGTCTTGAAACAGTCTTGGAACTTGGCCCATATGATAGAAAGGGACCTTTGATTTTAGAACTCCAGAACGTTTTTACTTATTTTTGTTCAGTGACAAATGCAGACAGACACTCATAACTCCAGCCAGCATGCTTAGTGTTCACCTGCAGTTCAACAAAACCAGGCAGCCAGTGTTCAAAGTGAAGGGTGTTTAAAAATTCCAGACAAAGGAGATCACGTAGAGAACTCATTCTTAGTGAATTTTCACGTTCATCTTCTCAAAAGGATGTCTTCTTTGTGCTTTTGGGTAGAGAATGACTTGGGAGAACATCAAAAATCAGAGGAAATATTCAAATTTTGGAAAAAAAAAACAACTTATGCGGCAAGTCGCATTTTTTAAAGCAGCTGTATAACCTTTAATTCACACGAACACCCACATATCTTTTAAAACCTGCTTTCTCACCACTCTGACAGTTAGAATTTTATCTCTTCACTCTTAAGATTTCTCTGGAGAGTGAAGTACTGCATCATTTTGACAAACCTGAATGTGAAGAGATGAATGCTCCTCATCTCTGAAACACTTCAGGGTAAGTTGCTTTAACCAGTTTCCTGTTTTCAGAGGCTATTTTTCTGTCATCCCTTCAGATCTATCAGAGTTCATTTAATTCTTCTAACAGTCATATTTTATAAAAAGTGGAATTCTTTTCACACTCATACTCATGGCTCTGAGATCTGGAGCCATTCTGACTACCACTATCATCTGGAAGGACACCAGTGTGTGCAAAGGACCCACCCCACCCACGCTCAGCCTGAGAATTACTACTTGCCCTGCTTTCTTCTTGCTTTCTGGAAATCTCCCTTGCCTGAGGTACACAGATTTCCAGGAGGGCAGGATGGAATATCTTTATATTATAGTCAGCATTCAAAATATTTTGCTGAGGGGACATGGATGGATGTGGAGAAAACCCCAGAATATTAACTGAAAACCAATTACTCCTAGCAGCTGAAAGCTCCCTTTGGCAGTTCAGGAACAACTTTTTAAATAATAGTATAGAAAATGTATCATTCAGAAAATTCGATGTGCTGAAATAGAGAAATGGCAAATAAAATTCAGTATCCTTAAAGACTAGATCAGAGGCTGACTCACAACAGTCTGCAGGCCAAAGATGGCCCCTTTATTCCATATGCTGTTAGGTGATATTCTTTTCTAGTCTACTTTTCACTAAAGCTTCATGTGTGAGTCTCAGATTCAACATCTTCATTTGGCAAGAGGCTCAAGGCTTGGATTTCTATTCTTCTACAAGGTGGTACAAGTATTTCCCCATGATACAACCTTGATATTGGTTTATGGTTCACTACCTTGATTTTTCCTTCCCATCCCTCCAAAAAGTCCTCTTAAAACTATGACTCTGTTCCTGAAGTGGCTTGTGAGCTACAGATGCTTTCTCCAATTTGAAATTGTTGAAAAAAATCAAAAGAACAACATTTCTTATGACACTTGAAAATGATTTGAAATGCAAATTTCATGTCTATAATAAAGTTTTATTGGAATAGTCACATCCATCTGTTGATATATTGTTTTTGACTGCTTTCATGCCACAGCAGAGTTAAGCATTTTCTGGGTCAATAGTTGTGATGGAGACAAGGCGGCCTTCAAAACCTAAAATGTTTACTACCTACATTTGACGGGGTGTGCTGACCACTAGGCTAGGTTATTATATGACAGTTGAACTGATGCCATTTAAAAATATTTAATTGTAAGAGAAATTTTGTGGTAAAATATTTAGTAAAGCAGTCATGACAAACTGTATAATACGAGACAGTTCCACATAGTTTACCTTCCTCACATAATTTTTGCCTCTTCCCCCAGTTGAAATGTAAACGCCAGGAAAATAAATAGAAATTGGCATTTATTGATTAATTGATTTAGGTTCAGTTCCTAGAACTATGCTTGGCACATAGTAGATGCTCCATATAGAAATGAAGGTAGTCAAAGACTGATGAATTGTGTCATTCCATCATGTCTCTATATAGTAATAGTTATAGCAGAAGTTTCTGGGATGTGCATATACATTAGGCATCAGGTTGAGGACTTCAAATGTAAGAGCTCATTTAATCCTAAAAGCCAATTTGGGAAGGTACATTCTCACCCCCATTTTACAGAGGATGAAAGCAAGGCTTAGAGAGATTGCTTAACTTGTCTAATGTTACAAAGCTAAGAAATAAGGTGACCAGAATTCAAAAGATCTGTTGGATTCCAGAGCCTAAGCTCTCACCAGAAGTTCTACTTCTTAAGTTTCTAAAAACAGTGTACATTTTGAGGTGAGAAAGAAAAGGATGAGAAAATACCAGAAGTCAGTATATAAATCACAGAACCAATTACTAAGCTCCTATCCGGGGCTTATAGATGATTTTTGTTTTCTTAGTTTTACATGCTAATGTTTTTCCACATTTCCTGAAATGAGTAGATTTGTTTTTAATTGCTTTAAAAATAAGAAACAAATGTCTTAAAGGAAAGAAAAATAGCCCAGAAGGTTAACTGTTTCAATTGTTTATGTAAATCATTTCCCTATTTCTCTGCGGGCCTCATGTGAATTGCTGAGGAAACGGCCTGCCTGTCTGTCTCCTGTATTGATGTGTGTTGTTGAGGTTCAGGATTAGGTTTCAATTCCCTTTGAATACTTCCTAGCCCTGAGAATCTAAAGTGCCATCTGTGTATAACTTTAGTCCAGAAACATCGATGGGTAGAACTCCTTGGTGTTTATCTTTCGAAGTCTGAAGTACACATGTCTTTGCAAGTGATGTTTTGTCTTCCACTCATATTTGGACTCATATTTGGTAGAGACATTGGTCTCTACCTGTCTCCCACTCATGATGGATTGCGTTTACCTGGGCTTTACTATTATTATTATTTGTTAAATTGACGTTGTATTTGGAGTCTACTCATTTAAAATTATATTTATCTTCTACCTAAGAAAACAATTAGTTTTGAGCAGCCCCAAAACTATTTAGGAAAGTCGGAGGAAAGAAAAGGGGAGATGGTGTTAAAAATGAAGTTCTTTAGTTTAGATCTATGTTCTTTCTCTATTTTTTTTTTCTTAATTGTGTGTCAGTGACTGTGGCATGCTTCCCCAAATCTAAAGGACTTCCTGTATAGAAGTCCTAGGCTGAAATTCCAAGGCTAAAAGGAAGAAGATTTTTCTTTCGAATAAAACTGGAATGCAAGTGATCTGAACGATCAAGTGAACGCTACCAAAGTTATTGAGGTCACTGTAACAGCAAATTCAAAAGAGGTTAGAGAAGACGGCAGTTTCCTGTAGTAAAGACCAGACAGAGATAAGAACTCTACAAAAGGCAAACAAGCAAGATGGTAAAATAAATGTCTTGAACCAAAGGAATACAGTCATAGATCAAGAGCCTCTCAGGTTATTTAAAAGGACTTTTAAAAATTCCTGTGATGTGTCTTAGACATTCCAGTCATAATTTCAGAGGCTTCTGTTGTCCAGGCCTGTTAAGAATGAGTTAAGTGGGCTTTTCCAGATCTTTGTGACTTTTTTCCCCCCAAGAGCATCATTCTGATTTTTAACTTAGAAGCAAAGCTGCTTAACATCATCTGTCAGTGACTTTATTTGGCAGAAATGGGGGCTGGAAAGTGATGTCATTTGTTTTAAGCTTGAAGTATCATTTAATGGACCTTTGTGATCTTCTCTGTTTATAACTTTACTTGGGCTCATCATTCTTGGTACAGTCTAGCAGTGGCATTTCTAAACTCTCAAGAGTGAGACAAAAACAATTAGTATGACAGTTTTGTTTTTTTTTTAACGTATCGTCTGTGTGCATGCAGTTGAAGAAATGCATTTGCTTAAATGCACTTTGTGAGGTTATGTGTGAATAAATGATCCATTACCAAGAGCACTACTGTTTCCACCAGAAGAGAAAAAAGTTTCCATCCTGCTTCTTTTTTATTTCTTTGGAAATTATGGTGGTGGCTGGTGTGAGCCATGCAATTTCACTTTTAAATTTGTGACTTCCAAAAATTCTTTTTCTGTAGCCCCAGAAAATCAGACAGTTGTTATTACATATAGAGAGCAGCTCCACTCAGACATTGAATAGACGATTATAAACACCTGGATTCTTTCCCTTATCGTGGTGGTTGCTTTTAGAAGTGGAATAAAACCACTTTAACCAGAGGACATTGTTATTGGTAATTAGTGGCTTATTCCTGTGCCACATCAATAAAACATCTTGTCTCAAAAATCTTTCATTTCATTGCCTAACAGGGACCTTGAAATATCATCTAATCAAACTCTTGCATTTGGGAGGTGAGAGGGCGAAGCTATGAGTGACTGTCTAAAATCTCACACTGAGTCATGCTGAACATGCTAAAGCAAATTTGTTTGTTTGTTTGTATTCTATAGATGGCCGACCATGCCCTCTCATTCTCTGGGACTCATCTCTATCTCCAACAAGTAATGAGACCCACTCTTCTGTTAAGCTCACCTGGGGAACTTACCAACAGTTGTTGAAACAGAAGTGTTGGCAGAATGGCCGAGTACCTAAGCCTGAATGGGGTTGTACTGAAATACATCACCACGAGTGGTCCAAGCTGGCACTCTTCGATTTTTTGTTACAGGTAAGCTTATCAGATCAAGTAAGGGGTGATCTAAGGCTGACGCTGAGTTATATAAGGCTAATGCTAAGGAATTTTCTATACTTTGAATTTTCATGAAGCCAAAGTTTAAGTTCTATAGTGGCATTTTGTTATATAGCTTACAGCCACCATTTCTCTTGTTTTCTTTCTAGTAATTTTTTTTGCAAATATTTAATTAAGATTGGACATTGGAGAATAATAGAATGATAAATATTGACCTTCTGTATAAGTGAGTGACACGGAATATCACAGATGTCTTATAACTCTTGTCCCCTTTTGATGAAGATCTCGTAACTCTCTTCATCCCCTCATTCTGATTACTGCTTTTCCTTTCCTCCATTTTAGAAAAACCTGTTGGCTGCTGTTGTTGTGTCGCTAATTAATACTTTGTAGAATTTAGGACTGTCTTAAGACATTTGCAAAACATTCTCCTTTTGTTAATTCCTCTGTGTGTGTGTGTGAGTGTGACATTTTGGGAAGGAAATAGAGAGAGGTGAAAATGTAAGAAGGAAACCAGAGTCACAGACTTTCAAGGGATTAGGAACTTTCAAGAAGAGGATGATTTATGGGGTCAGCATTGCAAAACCACCAGTGAGAACAGAGTTGGAGAGCAGGGCATTTGACAAGCAGGCAGTCAGAAGTCACCAAAAACTGTTGTAAGTACAGCTATGAGGTTCAGACTGGTCTAAAGCATTGTATATATATTATCTCATTTTTTTCCATTTAATTAACATGCTAACTCTGAGATAGGCATCTTCTTTCCATTTTATGGGTTGGTAAAAGGGAAACTGAAGTGTAAAGAGGCTTTTATCAAGAACTGTGGAAAGTCTGAGATCTTACCTTTCTCGAAACAAGCTAATAGATTAGCCAACCACATGTTCATAGATGGTAGCAGAGGACAGAGACAGACAGATGACTTCATTACTCATGGTATAGCAAATGGAACTAGCTTCATGCTCCTTTGCCCCTAGAGTCCCATTGGGATGATACAAAGTAGCCTGGTGAATGCTGCATGTAGGGGTTTGTCACTACAGAGGAACTCTAAGCTTAGGAAACCCCCAATCTTATAAGAGGTTGCTAGCAAACCTGTCCAACATTGCCCCAGAAGGAGACATTATCTTTATTATCTTAGTCAGCTGATAAATAAAATCTGACTTCCACATTAGTGGGAAACAATCTTTGTATTTTCCAAGGCTGTTTGCTATAATAACATCCTTGAAGAGACAGTGCAAAGTAAAACCTGATCTAAGATGTGCAGAAATGCCATGGAGAATTGTTTCTAAAGAGTTACCTAACTTGTTCAGTATTACAGAGCTGGTAAGTTCCCAAATAGAGATTTCGGCAGTTTTGGCTGACACGAGATTCCATATTTTTGACCATTATTGTATGGCAACTACCAAGGTATCTTTAGGTTAATAAAGGGGGTTGGTGTGATAAAATGTATTAGCAATAAAATGAAAAATGAGGGCTAAGTAGGTAAAGGTACTTTCTATGAGGCCAGGTGTTTAGGGGAGTGGTTCGTAGAGAGGTTGAAGCTCCTGAAAATGATGACTAGAGGCAGGAGGGATAGGAGAGTCATGAATGTGGCAGTGAAGTCTATAAGAAAGGAATAACCTTGAGGTTTGTAGTTGAGAACATAAGAGCTAACCTAGACTGAATTAGAGGGAAAACCCTTTTAGAAGTGTCTATAGTGATGTTTGTTTTAATTATGGAAACTTCAACTAAATCTCCACCCACCTTCTGTCTTTGTTATTCTCCTTTCTATTGAGGAAAACTACAATTATCATTCAACAAATGATAATGTGTTTATGCAGCACCTACTGTGCATTACACTGAAGAAAACTGACCCAGGGGTAGCAAAATAGTAAAGACAGTTATCCCCTCTCCCTATCCCACATTTGGGTTTTTAAAAAATTACATAAGAAAGTATAGTATGAAACAAAAATAGATCCATGTAAGAAGGGCTGGATGGGATAATATAAAATTTCTTACTGATACGAGGTTAAAAAAAAGAGAGAGTGCTTTGCCATAAAATAGTAAAGGAGGGAGAGTTTGAGTAAGATTGCAGGCTATAAATGATAAAGAGGATAGGCACAAATGTAAGGAAGGACATGGGGTTGACAATGTTCATAGGATATTTAGGGCATCCTATATATACTATTTATCTGAAGGAGAGTCATTTGGGGGAGTAGTGATGCTCCCTGCCTATAAGAGATATGATAGAAAACAGAGGAAGAGAGCTTTTATTCACAAGAGGTATGTTCGCATTGTAACCTTTGTGTTCATTACCTTGACTGAGCAAGAATGAATTCAAACTGACCCACAGTCTCCTGAGAGCATTAGCAGCTTTTGTCATTGTGCCCATTATCCGTGGTCTTGAGGATGAATGTGGACACATCACTATTATAAGTTTTCAAAGAAGACAAATATTTTAAGAACTTAAACTAATACTGTTAATATTCTAACAATTATGTGACACTTGCTATGTGCTTGGCACAGTTTTAAGCACTCTCTCTGTACTGAGCACTGAGATACTATCTTATTTAATCCTCATAACAGTCCCATGAAGTGGATCTTATTATTATTCATATTTTAGAAATGAAGAAATCAAGGCAAGGAGAAATTAATTAATTTGGCTAGAGTTACAGAGCTTGTATCCAATAGAATCTGTAGTCCAACTGAGGAATTCTGGCTTAAGAGACAAACTTATAAGCAAAGCTTCCTCCTATTCATTTTATAGGGCAATGATGCCATCATCTTTCAATTTCTCAAGTCAAAAATTTGGGAGTCATTTATATGCCTTGTGATACTTACCCTCATATCCATACAATGACCAAGTCCTTGAAATATCTCCCCAATCCACCTTCTTTTAGGTATGGCTTGTGCTCGTATCTTAGTTCGGGCTTTGTCATTTCCTAACAGGATGAATTCCTCCAGTCCACTCAAACTATATAAGCCAAGATCACCTTCGGCTTGAGATACTGGGCATCAGGCTGCTGCTAAATCTGCAGGAACAGATTCTATTGGTAGATCAGTTAGTTCTATTTGTAATCTACTCCCTTGTCCCTTCTGCCCATAGCAGCTTGTGAAGGTGTCTTTCATATTCCTCATAATCCATGAGGATGTGATCTCTGCAAGGCTTTACTGGAACTTAAGTTATGACACCAGTGGGAGTTCCCAGTTTTGGCTCTGCCTAAAGCATTGAATCTAAAAGTCAGAAGTTAATTTGATTGTTAAGAGTTAATTTGGTTGGTATCTACCAAAGTATATCAAATTGTATATATGAGGATGGCATCTGAGAGAATAGACTTACATTCTTTCATTCATCCAACATTTACTTGCTTCCCACAGTGCAACAAACAAAAGACTGATTTCTTCTAGATGCTGCAGCATTTTATAATTTTATCAGTAAGTTAGAAGAGCAAGTGTTTTCTTCTTTCTTTCCAACCTTGGGAAGTGGAAAACTGATTAATATTTTTACTGATTTTATGGAGGGTAGTAAGGTCTTGCTTATATTTCCAGTTTTTTCATTATGAGTGAGATTGAGGATCTCATACTTTCAAATATGCATTATTTATAGTTCATTTTTTGTGAGTTGCCTGTTCATATAATTCCCATTTTTATTGCATTCCATAGCTTTTCCTTATTTATAAAAACATTTTGTATATCATGAAAATTATTATCAATCCTATATATCTCAAATAATTTTTTTACTTTGTTGTTTTTCATTTGACTTTGCTCATAGTAGATATTACTCCAGAGAAATTTTACATTTTTTATAAGGTGATATCTTAGTTGACCTTTTTACTTTCTGTATTTAGCATCATACAATTTTTATAGAGAGGTGTTTGTTAAAATGTTTGCTGAACAAATAAATGAATAAATGAACATATGTAGGCCATTTTTCATGAGTACTACAGTAGTTATCTTTTATACAATAATCCTCATCAATTACACTGAGATGTTTACTTTAAAGAGAACATTTTTTTTTAAAAGATTTTATTTATTTATTTGACAGACAGAGATCACAAGTAGGCAGAGAGGCAGGCAGAGAGAGAGAAAGGAGGAAGCGGGCTCCCTGCAGAGCAGAGAGCCCGATGTGGGGCTCGATCCCAGGACCTTGGGATCGTGACCTGAGCCGAAGGCAGAGGCTTTAACCCACTGAGCCACCCAGGCATCCCGAGATGTTTACTTTAAAGTCAAATATATGCCTTATTTAAATGGTGATTGTGAATGTGTTGGGAACGCATTGAGTAGAGTTTGTTAACAACTTTAGAAAAGTTCTGCCTGAAGTAAACTAAAATCACTTGTTCTATGATGCTACAACAAGGCAAGGGAATACAGAACCCAGTTGTTAATTTTCTGTACACAACATTCTTTTTGTTTTACCCAATTAACAAATCTACATTCATAAAAGCTATGCCATTTTACTGGGTCTATAAATGTGATAGAGGCACAAGTAACCTTTTATTCTTGAAGCGTGGGGGTATGAACTGCAGAGACAAAAATTCACCTCCGTTAGGATGCCAAAGAAGAGTATTCTAGAGAGAATCTGAGTTTCTAAGACTTGGGAAATTTCTATCAAAAGGTCAAATAAAATAATAGGAAAAGATTTAGGATGTATAAAACTTGCTTTTTGAACTCGTAGATAGTCTGTATAATGGTTAGGAACTGAGATTCTGGAACCAGTCTGCTACAGTTCAAACTAAATGTCCAATACTAATTTTTTAACATTGAGAAGTTATTTAACCTCTCTCTACCTTGGTTCCCTCAGGAATAATAATAATGTTTATAGAGAAGGTTATTGAGAGAATTCAATACATTTACACACATGAAGAATTTAGTATAATGTCTGTTACATAATAGGTTCAGTGAGTATTACATGTTAAGAAATTTATTATTCAGAAATAATAGTAGAGACTAATACCGATAAAAGAACTAAAGTATTTTACCTTTATTTTTATTCATTAAATTGTAAGTCA